TAATGGTTTAATATATTATAGTACATAATCATATTAATGCTTTTGCTTTCTCAGCCCCCTTATTTCATTAACTAATACAACAGAGACATAGACACATGTTTTTATTTTCTCCATGTCCTAACTAATTTATGATCCAAACTGAGTTAGGATGTGGGAACCTCTCCTCCTTGTGCAGAGCAGGGTATGGAGAAATAGTTGCTATGCAGCATGCTCCTCTGCTCAAATTGTAATAGACATAGTTCAGGGAGATTGAAGACAGCTGTGGATGTGTCCACTGAAGAGATAGTTAAAATAACTTTGTTCTTAGTTTGTAACTATAAGTTAGGAAACATGGTTTCTATAGTTGGGGTTTTTTTATGTTTGCAGGTTTTTTTAGCTGTGGAGCTTTCTGGGGGGAGAAAAAAAAAAAGAAAGTTGAATCACTGGCTTAGAATAGTTAATATCTATTTCTTGCTGTGAAAAAGGTATTTTCACTGATAATAGAAGACCCTCAGTTAATTTACACTAGTAAAGTGTAAGAATCCCATCCCTCGATGTGCTGGCTGTACTCTTAGTGATGCAGCTCAGGATACAGTTTGCCTTCCTTACTGCAAGGATGCATTTCTGATTCATGTTCAAATCAGTTCATTTACTGCTTAACCAGTATTGTATTTCATACTAAGCTGATGGATTGTTTTGTTCCTATTACATTTCAACCTTGTTTCAGGAAGAATCCCTTTTTTTTCCTGCGTGAGCGCAAGGGAATACTCATTTTGTGGTGACTGCTCCTACTCTGCACTTTGCGGTTTAATAGGAGCTTGAGTCATGCTTGAGATAGTTTTTGGTTGTGCATTCACCAGAGTGTACCCCTACCATCTTTTTTTCCCCTCTTTGTCATGGCTGTAGAATGGACTATAGAATTTGGTCAGCTCGATTATGTGAAATGTTATATTCTTATGCTCTGTCTCTAGAAGAGTCTTAAAAATTTTTAACTCTGTTTTTTATTCCTGGTTGGAAAGTGTCTCCCACAGATCTTTTTAAGACAACAGCCTGTTGCTTAACTCCTTTTGTTAGAATAGCTTTTTTTTTTTTTAAAATATCTCTCCCACATGCTAGAGGTGACTTCACACCCATCCAAAGTATTAAACATTAATAGACAAAGACTGAGAAATCTCCTTCTAGTTCACCTATCTCTCAAAAGGCTTATTCCTCATTGAAAATTTATCTGAAAGTACGTCCTTCGATTGCTTTAATACTTTGTGGTCTGATATGGCTTGAAGAAAAATTCCAGATGGGATTCCAGCAGAATTCTCTTAATAGAGCCAATTACTAAATAAAAGCAGTAACAAAGAAGAAATTATGTCAGAGATTTTAGGCTGATGTTCTGTTTACCGTTAATTCTTTGAGAAATAAGAGCTTAATGCAAGATTGATTTCATTATACTGACCAAGCTTTTTCCAAAAACCACAAGTAGTTAAAAGCATTTGGGAAATAAAATTGTGCTGTATTTAAATGTGCCAGTTATGTGCTCAAAGCTCCACATAAAAAATTAAATTTTCAGTTTAAATGACAATCTGTCCAGTTTCTAGATTTGTTTTTTGGTGTCTTACCAATATTACACTTTTTTAGTCTGAGAGATAATAATAATTCATAATGCTCAGAGCAATTGGAAACAGAAACCAGTCCCTTTTAATTGTTTCCTTCCGTTGTATTTAATTCAGCTTCTCTGGATGCATTAAGATTTTTGGATGATGGGTTTGTTTTCTGCTTGTTGTCTTAGTAATGAAAGCTGGACCCTACGGGAAGATTTAGAAAAATAGAGTGTTCAAAGTTCTTTTTGAGAACAAACCAAACTTGTAGGTGAACTTTTTTAAGTGGCTCCTTTTTCCAACATTTATATTCAAAATTCAACATTCTGTGGATGCTACCAATATTTAAAGGGAAATTTTTAGTTTAGACAACTCTAATGTTTAAGGGAAGATGACATTCTCTTGTTTTAGTTTCATTTACCATTTTCAGCACAACCTTATCCTGTTTTTTTTGCTCACATGTTGAGATGAGGGAGCATACTTATAAAACTATGAAAAAGGTCTTTAGAGTTTGGAGGTGAGCACTTTTCCTGATTTTTAAATCATGTGAAGAGTTCTGTCTTCAGCCCTAATCGTGCTATAGGTCTATTTTCTAGTGCATCCAGACTGATTTGATACCTTGCAGTTTCTTTCTTCATATATTCTGAGCACAAGTCTTCCTTCGTCATCCACAGGGTCAGACCTCAGGTAAAAGTTTGGCTGACCTCACACACATCACTGCAGCATCCTATTTTCTAGTTTTGATGAATGCGTTCTTGCCTGTTGATGTCCATCCTGACTGTTGCAAAGATCACTCTTCCAGCTCGTTGCTTTAACAGTATTGCATCATTTGCTGCTTCTTCTTCCGTGCTTTCTCATTTCCAATATAAGCTCTTGTTCTCACTCTGAAGGCTGTGTATCCTCTTTCAGTACCGAGATCTCATCTGCGCTTCAGTCATGCTGGTGTTTAGGCTCAAACTCTTCAGTTTTCAAATAAATATTGCTGTGCTTCCTCTGAAATGTGTGGAGCAACCTGGGAGAGAAAAAAAGACATTGTAAGCTCTGTGAGGTGAGGTACTATCAAACTTCATTTGTGTGGTGACTGGCTTTAGTGGAGTCCTGGTCTATGGTAAATAGAGAATATTCTGCAATAATACCAATTCAACAGGTACTTGTTGAAACTATATCCAGCATTAAGTCACTAAATTGGAAACTGGTGTGTTAGAAACTGTTTAATCAGATTCAGCAATGCTTCAGCATTCCTTCTTACTTTAATAAGAAATGTCATCTCTGTCCTTATAGTCCTGAGAGTTAAAAATTTGCTAATGCTTTTCAGTAGCTTTAACTAGTCCAAAGTTTTTTTTAGTACTTTGACTCTATGCATGCACGTCTGAGCAGATCTGTGTTTAACTGTGACAAGGCCAATATACATCTTTCTCCTCCCCTTCCCACACCACTTGGCCATCCTGGGGAAAGGAGAGTATTTCAGCCAAGGAGTGAAAACCAGGACCGAGTTTTTCTCCCTCAGTAGGTTGCGTAGCAAAGGAAACATCATCATTCACGTTTCATTTTTGTAACTAGCTTGCCACAGATGACTATGACAAGAAAAAGCCCCTCTCCCTGCCTTTATCCATCTTATTGATGCAGATGTGATCCGAGGCATTACTGGTTACAGGGCAGGGGGAGAGAACTTTTTGAAAACTAACTTTGAAAACAGACACAAGTAGGAATTTATTTGCTTTAACAATCTGATGTTTTTTCCTTTTTTTTTCCATAAAGCCTTGTACTGTGTGTTGCATTTGTTTGCCTAATTTAAGTAACATCGAAAAAGTCTTAACTGAGCATTAATTTAAATCCAATTTCCTGTCTCTCTCGAGGAGAAAGGAGGGAGAGCTTCATTTTTTTTTTTTCTTTTGCTTTTAAATTTTCCCACCCCTGTGGCTTGAGGAAGCTGTGTGAAGAACATGTTCCCACAGACTGGGGGTCTCCAACAATGACATTTCCGTTTGCAAGCAGGCAGCAGGACGGCCGGCGAGGCTCAGACCACTGCCGCGGGCATCGTGAGCCCGAGCACGTACGCTTACGTCACCAGCGCCTGGACCTGCCTTTGGTGGGCTTTGTATAAAAAGTGCTAACGCTGAGCAGGAAATGGAGATTTCCCTCACATTCTTCTAGACATTGCCTTTAGTTTTGTTTTTTTCCTCTGTTGGAAGGGATTGCAGTTGTTTTCCATTCGTAATCCAAATCACTGGTTTGACAAGAAATACATCTGCCTTTCGTTCTCAGCCCGTGTTGTGCGGTAACGCTGATTCTGGGTGGATTTCTCTGCATTAGGAATGACAAGTTTTAGTGTCTTGTCAAAGACAGGTGACAACTGTTAAACTGCTGTCGGGTGGAAGTTTGACTTGTGCGATTGTGTTGCTGCAACTCTGTGACTGGAGGTTAAAGTCCCTGCTATATTAAAAATTTAAAAACTAATTAGTGGAGCTGGTTAGCTTTTGTGTAAGCCCAGTTGAGTCAGATATTAAAGCGTATTTATATTCCTCCATAAAGGTCTAAAAGATAAACTGTGAGTTGTTGTTACTGGTTGTTTCTCAATTAAAGTTTAAACTGACTGCTAGCCATTAGCCTCTCTACCATTGTTTGACTGCCAACAGCCAAGTATACAGTAATTTAAAAGGTCACTGAGGCATCTTGTTCATAACTCTTGGACAGGGCTGACTCTTTTTGCAATAATGTATACGGTCTCAGGAGATGTGTTTACCAGTGCTGCTGAGCTTCCTACTGGAACTAAAAGATCAAGAGTGCAGGACCACGTTTTTCAATTTCAGTTCCAATCCCGAATATAACAATTCCCTGCCACTGTCAATGTTAAATCCGTTGGAACGTCTTGATTTCCAACTGAAACTTAATTTTTGTTTGTGATCTTGTTCACTTAAGTTTCTGTATATAAATGGTTTGTTTAGAAGATCAAATACTCATCCTCATCAGTTAGAAATTTTGTCTGGATATTAATGCAGTAGAAGCAGAAAAGTAAAATCTTAATCTTAACAGAGATACCACCACATGGTGTGTTTTAGGGATTTCAGGCACACATCTCTAATTCGTTTTCTTTTCTGTCTTGGTGTGTACAGTTGTACCAAGTCTATACTATTACCCTCTTTAGCACAACATTTTACACCTTTTAATACACGTTTTGCACTATTTTTAGGGGGGCAAGCCTAATATTTCCTGGAATTCTTATACAAAATAACTGACTTTCCTATCACTAAATTCTTTTGTTGTTCTCTGTAGTAGTGGGTTTTGGTTTCTTACCACAGAACTTCAGTGTTTGCTTTCTCTGCTGATTTCTTCAAAGGCATTAAAAACCCCACAAGCACTGGTGGATTGGTAGAACTAATATTTGTTAGATTATGATTTTAATATTTTTTTAATATTTTTTTTCCCTTCAAGAATATTGACATAACAAACTTCAGCAGTAGCTGGAATGATGGCTTGGCTTTTTGTGCAGTCCTCCATACTTACCTCCCAGCCCATATTCCTTATCAAGAACTAAACAGCCAAGACAAGGTATGACATTAGAAATTCCATTCCTGGGTCTGTGAGACTATATAATTAATATGGGTTAATAAAGAAAGATGAACAAGTTTGAGTTTTAAAAAAACCAATATTACTAGGAATCATAATTGAAACACTTTGAACTACCTTGCTGCTTTTCTTATAACATTTTAATGTTATGAGATTGTTAGGTTAAACAGAACTTTAGAACAGATGTAAGAAAACAAACAAACAAAACCACAACAGAAGATCATAAATTTAAGTTTGAGGCATTTAACCCAAACAGTTAGGAAGTGTTTTCAGTTCAGGTTTTGGAAGCAAGGAGTGTTTAAGCTTAAAAATTTAAAATCAGTCAATGCTGTATATTGACATATTTTGTTCCTCTCTTTCGATACCACAAGGATGTTGTTTCATCTTATTTTCTCATACTGATAAGTGACTGTGATACTCTTCTCAAGTGATATGTGTCAAATAAAGGTAAACTAGAAGATGTCAAGACTGCAGAGCAGTCTGAATGTATTCTAGTGTGCTATAGTTAATACCTACTGGTGTGTTGTCTGGAGATGTATTATTAATTATAATTCCTTAAAAAAATAAGAATATTTCATTAACACATGAAGAGATATTTATGCTTTTTAAATATCAAATAACTTATTCTTTAGCATTTTATAACTCGGTCATTCTTCACTGACAGTGATTTTTCAGCATTATCTTCTGAATGAGGAATTTTAAAAAATGTTCTATAAATTTTTGGATTATATTAGGACATGTGCATTTCTATGGCTCTTTTTAAATTACTATAGTCAAATTATAGACTCCATTTGAAGCAGAAGTAGCAGCATTACTATGAGCATTCTTAACACCACTTTGTTATGTTTGAAGTAGTATTTCCTTGGATTCTAACATGTTTTTGTATCTCATGCAGAGAAGAAATTTCACTTTGGCGTTTCAGGCAGCTGAAAGTGTTGGCATCAAATCTACTCTGGTAAGTTTTAAAGGCACACTCAATGAATTATGTCCCATTTGTAAAAATCAAATTATTCTATTTTATACTTTTGAAAGATTTTGATGCTTTATACTTAAAAATAGCAGCAGATGAGCTCAGCTAGAGGTTATTGCCTCTGTATCATACTGAAAACAAACGATACTCCCTACCTCAGTGGCTTTGTTTAATAAAAACCACTGTTGTCAATAACTTAAGCTTACATGTTTTTTGCATTAAATAGTGACTGAGATACAGGCCTGTACTGTAGCTGCTGCAGCAAAGGCAACAGCATGATAGCCTATAGCAGGTAAATCCTTAAGCTATAAAAGGAAGATTCACCAAAACTCATCTCTCAGTATCATAAGAAATATAAAGGAAATGGATTTGCCTGAGAATAATTTGAGAAATAGTTATGTTATAAAATCTTCAGGAATTTATTAATTCTCTCCTGTCTCTGACCTACTTTCAAATTATTTGGGAATTCTGGGGATTACAAATCAAGCTATGTAATTTTTTGTTTTGCTCAGTGTAATATGAGAGTCAAGATTTTAACTGTTAAGTTTAGACTTTTAGTTGGTCATCATTGTAAATAATTGTTTATAATAAGCTTTCTTTATTATAGCTTAAAAGAATTAGTTTTCAATAGTATAGTACTTGCTAGAAAAGGAAGATTTCCAAAGGTATGGAATTGGGAGAATCCCAAGCCCTTCTGAATAATGACAAAAATTCAGCTAAAAATGCAAGTATCAGAAATGATACTTGTGATACTTTTGTAAGCTAAATTCTAACAAAGCTGCAATAATACAGCTAATAATAATAAAGCAACTAATAATACAACAAAGTCAGGCGTTTTTAAAAATAACACTTTCCCTGATCCTTATCAGAGCCTTTACCCCCCAGCATTGTATTTGCTGACAATGGCAGTGCAACTGTTGGACTTTAGTACTTTGACTTTGTCAGTGATTTGAAACATGGAAGTTCCTTACCAGTGCTGATGTAAGAACTAGATTGTGGAAAATAACTGCAGTAATTCTTACATAATTCAGCTGTAGTCTAAGTGATTGCTGTCTGTCCTTTCTTTTTGTAATGTACTTTATTACAGATACTCTAAAAAGGCAAGTTGAATGGAATTCAATCTTCTAAGTGCAAATTGTATCCATCTTAAGGATTTAGCATCCATTTACATACCTACATACACAGTGTGTACGATGTGTATGTTTGTGGATTTTTTCCCTTGTCCATGTTGCATGGATTGAGGGTGAAAAAGGGTGTGAAAACTACTGTTATGTGAATAGTAGTGGTAATGCAAAGGAAAGTTATTTGTTCCCTGAATAAGAAAGTGTTTGGCTACTTTCATGTGGAGAGTTAAAAAACATTACTTTCTCTTTTTTGAGTTCTGGAGGTTCTTGGATCCAAAGCTTACAAAATAGACCCTTACAGTAAACAAAAATTATTAGAATCTATATCACTCTGTTTTCCTTTGTACAGGTGCTGAAAAGAATAGATCAGGCTTTGTTTGCCCTGCTTATTCACAGACAATCTGGTATCCTGTTAACTATGAAATACGTGTGAACTTGCCTGTCAGTTAGACACGAACTGATTGCTTAGTCTCTTGGATATACCCAAATGGGTACTAAAGTAAACGTCCCTCTTCCGTGCCTCTTTACTCAAAACTATGTATACAGTAATCTGAAGTTCAGCAGTCTGCTGTAGAATGAGATTCAATTATTTATGGATGCTGACTCTTAACCTGATACGAATTTTTAACTTGAGCTTCAATTAATATCTGGGCCTTGGTTCTGTGACTCACAGTACCTGGGTAGATTGCAGTGACTTGCGAGGCTGGTGTAGGACTCTGTGAACACCGAAGCCTTGACTACTAGACTAATTGTACTAAGAGGGGGACAACTCGAGTGTGCACAGCATTGCACATTTCGATCTTAAGTCAACAAAAGAACCATTTACAGATATGCTATTCATAGCTGTTTACATTTTGTAAGTAATAAAAAGATGTATGGAGGAAAACAGCTTTCTTCATCAGTACCTTAAATGGTGGAAGCTTTACAGATTTACCATTCCCAGGAATTTGTAAAAACACTACCACATTACTCACAAGGTTATCGTTCTTGGCTTTGACCAATCTGTTTTCTGTGACAGGACATCAATGAAATGGTGCGAACTGAGCGTCCAGACTGGCAGAATGTCATGCTGTATGTTACAGCAATTTACAAGTACTTTGAAACCTGAAACCCTAACAATTCAGCAGATCCATGGGATAGAACCAGCATGAGCTACCAGATGGAAACCTTACTGAAATGCTGATCCTCATTTCACTGAAAACTGACAACATTAGAGTCTCCTCAAGCTTCAGTGACACTATCCTGGATTGCCTCAAATTGCTTCAGCTACTAAGCTTGGAAACAGCTGTTTAAAAGCAAGAACTTGTTGCCACAGTGCTTGGAATAACCCAAGTTATTAAGCTATTCAGATTAATTGTGTAGCCAGAAGAGCCTGGACTACTTATGTGCTGCCTTTCCAGCCAGACCTCCTGAAGCTTTCTTTCCTAGGAGGGTGAGGTGAATGGATCCTCTAGCATATAGGAGACTGAATGTACAGCTAAAGCTTTGAGAAGGAAAAGGATAACATGGCATCGTATTACTGAACTTTCTGTAGTGTCCTGATACCACAGTCTGAATAATTCTACCCACAGCATATGGCACTCCAGTACAGTAGAGTTCCTAATGGTAATTTAGTTACTGCCTTTACAGCTATCTTCCCTCCTTTAAAATATGCACAATATTCTAGGAAAACAAGCTTTCATTCCATAACAACAAATTGAGTGGAAAAGTGCTCTCGATACCTCGAAAACTTTGGCACAGAAGAACTCTTCATTCTAAAGCTTCATGATAAGCCTACCTCTGTCACAGTGATGTGGCTTCCAACTTTATCTTACGGATTGTAAAGACTAGCACATACAGCTCCTGGTTTTCAGGGTACGCTGTACTTCAAGGAATCTGTCCAAACTTCCTGTGCTTCCATTATAACAGAAATGAATCAATAATCAACCCTTGTATGGCTTCTTCTTTCCCCTCTTCCTCCTTTGCCTCTATAGCACGCACAGCTACCCCAGGCTTTACTCTACAGCAATATGAGCATCCGTCATGGATTTCTGTGGAAGAATTTTAGAACTGGGATAGCGTTTCCTCTGCAGAGAAGATATTTTCAATAAAATATAATAATGAAGTAGTTTGTCTCAAAATCCAGCTTTGCCATGTTTTCTGAGTTTTTCATTGATCTCGCACATCCTCATCTGACTGACAGAAGGTGAGACATTCTCTGACAAGAACTATGGAGGAACTGATGTAATGTGTATATACCCAGTAGTCTTGAATATTGCGTGGAAATGACTCACTGTCACAAGGAAGGAATTGAGAAACTTTAGTCTGCTCAACTTCTATTTTCCTAAAATGTACCTGAATTCATGTAACAGCTCTTGGGCAAAAGAGTTCAAGTAAGTGCCTTAGTGATCATTGAGTTGGTATATCCTGGCACTTCAGGGCCTCGTGCAGAATGTTCATGGCTCAGAATGATTTCATGTATCCATTTGTCATTAGATGTTTGTTGTCATCTTGTTTGTCAAATCAAGGGAAGACTTCACTCTCTCATTGCTTCTGCCTCTTGTTTTTCTGAATGCTTATCGGCAGTTAAGCCACAGTTCAACGTCTCTCATTAATATTAAGCAGAAGCCTACTTTAGAAATGAGTTCTGTAACAACTGCTGTTTATAAGCACATGCTCTTTCAACACAGTAACCCTGTTATAAAGAAAACGGATCTGCCATTCCTATGGTGCTCTTATGACTGTTAAGGACAGTTTGAATGTCATAGATGTTAACCCAGTGGATGCAACTGTGCTTGGCATCTGTGAAATTTCATCATGGTATAAAAGCACAGATTTAACTCAATTATTGCCAAATCCAAAAACCTATCATCTGAAGAACATAGCCCATGTGAAGAGTAATAATTCAGCATGTCTCTAGCAGCTAGCGTTATATAAAAATATATGCTTTCACTTATACGTGCCTGTGAGAATTACGAAAATTTGCAAAATAACTATTTAATCCATGCTGAGGGCCTGTGGAGAAGTTTTCAGAGCAGGAGTGTCTCAGACATTCTTAGAATTCTTTAGAACCCTAAAAGTAGCTAGATGCTCTCAGATTATTAATTAGTGCATTTGAAGAGCCATCATAATCTAAAGATAATTGTTGCAAGAGAGGCTTCTAGTGAAAAATCTTCATTAACAGATTTTAATAAAAGTCTGAAATACAATTTCCTCTCCTGTATATTTCTTCAAAAAATTTTTGTTTATTTCATTTCTTCAGATAAGTTTCAGTAAGAACAGTCTTCCTGGAAATACACATTATTGCTGTCTCGCATTCTGTCTCCTGCTACTGAATTCCATTTTGCCAATTTGTGTTTAGAAACCCTTCTATTCATCCTCTGAACTGACATCAGTATCTATGATTGTCTTATTCATTGCCTTCGATTTTAAGAAAATATTTTTCTAGTGAAAAGGGTAGCATTTCTTGGTATAAATTCTCTCATGACCTGTTTTGTTAAAGTAATCAGCTTTAAGCTGATTTTTTCTGTCCAATGGTCATCTTCAGTTACCTGGAATGTTGTTTTCATCCTTAACTGAAATAGCACTAATGTAAAAAGGGAAATCACATTTTCCAGATACTTTCTGTTAAAAAAAATGAGCTGCTAGTCTTCAGAGAGAGAGTTTATTAGTAATTATAAAAATTATTTTGTTTTGAACTTCAGAGCTCTGTAAACTTCTTCTCGGCGTGATCTGTCAGATAAACCTCTGCTGAATTCATATCTGCAAAAGAATATTGGGCTTCTTGAAAAGGTTTTTTATAATGATATATCTGAGCCTTTACATATAAGATGTTGCACAGCTGTCCAAGTGGAAGTAATGAAACAATGGAAGATCTAAACCAAACATAATGCCCTGTTGCACTCTGCATGTTTTTTTCTGAAGACTCAAACATCATTAAATTTTTCAAGAGGAAGAATAGCTGTAGCCCTTCTGGTCATGGGTGAAACTCTTCTGTTTGGTTCCTACTCATAGTTAATCCTCAAACAGCCTGGTTTTTTGTACATATGAAGTGCAAGTTTATGCTGATTTGCTTTCCTTCTTTTTAATCCAGAAAATATTTCTGAATGTACTAAAAGAACAACAAATATTCTATCATCAATTTATATTATTGCATTTTAATACGTGCCTTGCAAATGCCTGTGCTGTAGTATATCAGGGTTACTCATTGCCAGCTGTAGGGGTGGGTTGGGCACAAAATGGAGCTGTTCAACATACTGATGCAGATACAGCTATATCATCTCCTGGATCATGTCTACTGAAACACTTCCATGGATTAGAGAGGTCAGTTCAGAGCCAGATGTGCATTCGGTTTGGCTAGTTGTCATCCTGATGCAGGATCATCGACAGTGAACTGAATGAACAGTCGTGGGGTTTTGTTTACCAAAAAAGAGGGGATGGGAGGAAAAGATTTAATTTTGGTTATTCAGGAAAATTATGTCAGAGAAGTTTTGATATGGAATGTCTGACAATAACAGAACTGAGGTGAATTCAGAATGGATTACACTTGATTTGGTTTTCAGTTGGTTTTGTTTGATCCAGTTTGGTTTGATTGTCTTGCATATTTAAATAGAAACACTAATTTAGTATCTCTGGTGTGAATCTCAGCAGCCCTTACAAAGATCTCTTATTCTTATGCCTCTGCAAAATTGAGTGAAATTTTCCCTTTTAAATTTGTGTTTGTGGATCGGTTATCCGGAACATAGTGTTTAATTACAGCATATTTGGATGTAAAAGTAAATTTTTGTCTCTTTTGCATAAAATATATTCCTCAAGTTACCTTTAGCATTTCTGATAATTTTTTGTCTCCAGTTTTGTAAAATATTTCCACTGTTTGTGTTTTTCTGTAAAGTCCATCGTCATGCTTTAGAGGCCCCTTAATTTACCAGAGCTAAATGAACTCAGCTTTGATGTATTAGTGTAAACTCATATTAATGCCCCTAGCAGCAGTCAAACTCTGGGTTTACATGCATAAGAAATAAATTTGTCCCTTGCTCTAATGATGCAGTGCAGTGGTTTAAACTGCTGAGGATCTGCCTTAAGAATTTGGTAGCTGTGAGAAAAAATTCTTATTGGCATCTCATTTCTGTTACTGATCTCAATGTGAAGTTCTTATCTGTTTTTTTCAGTTCCTTGATTCAGCACTTCAGGCATTTGGATTCTGTTGCATCTTTTGCATCACCAAAAAAATTAACTTTAATTCAGTTCTCTCTATTTCTGTACAGTTTTGGCCCAGGGTACAAGTTCGATTATAGCCTAGTTTTAAACAACATTATTTGGGAAGTTTAAGATACGGAGAACTTCTGAGTATTTTTCTTACTTTCCGTGTTCTGCTCGTGACTGGTTTGGGAATGCTGTCTGGTTTTCAGGTGATATGTGACAATATCTCCTAAAGCTGGCCCCTGTGGATGGCTGGCATGAAGCTATGCATAGGCTCAAGTTGAGCCTTTAAAACTGTGTTCATGTGAGCCATGTGGTGACTTTACTTCTTGTTTGGCTCTTGCAACTGATACAGTCACAGCTTAATTGCAGGCTGCATTGAGCAGGAGCTGCTGAGAGGCAGAGTTCTTCTGGGACGAAATCCAGTTGTACACCTTTACACTCTTTTTTGCATATTGTAATACTCTTGCTGAGGTGGCCTAAGAAAGAGGATTTTAAAATAGTGGTGTTCATGTACAGGCTGATTTAACTATATAGTTTGTTTGTGGTCCTTCCCTTGACTTGGTAAATATTTATTTCTGTTTTATTTTTATGTTCTGCCAAGCTCTATTTCTGCAATTCCTTTCTTTAAGCTAGCATTAGTGTAGGAATACTCAGTAATATTAAGCAGTTTGAGAAACGATTTGGTGAAAAGTGGTGTTAAAGTGTAGTCGTCATCCCCGCGTTCTGGACACGCCGCTGTGCTTTCCCAAGTTAGCCTGTGTGGATTGGCAAAACGAGTTGGAGCTACTTAACTCGCCCACGACTTCCTTGTCTCCCATACAGCCTGCATCACTCCAGGGCGTCCATCAGGTGTTCTTGCCCCCAGATAACCAACTGCTTACATGAGTTAAGGGTTCATAGACATCTCTTGATACCTTTGATTTTCCCCGTTTAGAAAGGTGTGTCTAATAGTGGTTCTGCTTTCAAAGGAGAGTGGCTGGATGGGTTTTACATTAGTCTGGCTTGCTGAGCACTCCCAGTCCTTCATTCATCTAAGTTTTTTCTGTTGTATTCTCTATGATTTCAGTGTCAGTGGTGTTTGTAATTGTCAAAGCCAAGACGTTAAGCGTCTGGAATACGTAGCAAGTATGCTTTCTATAGTTAATGCTAAATAACTTAAAAGATCAAGGTTTGTATAGTTCTGATTTCTGTTAGACTGTTGATACAAGTGTCTTTTTTTCCATATATATTTGCGCTTGCCAGTTTTTGGGATGAACTCAGTTCATCAAGACCACTATCCTAGCATCCACAAATTAATGCATTCTGTGATACCAGGATTATTTCCTCACACTGAAACTTCAGTAAAACCTACGAATACCAGATGACTTCCTTCCAAATGACATTTATCTTTTACTTGAAATATTCCTTACCCTTAGGCCACTGTCTGCCACAGAGTTGCACATAAAGTTCCCATCAGTTCCAGCAGGACTTGTGGATGCAAAACAGTCGGGTAAACTTTCAGCAGAATATTACAGCAGCCTGATGCAATGAAGCAGTTTTCATTTTGATCCCCTATTTTCAGGGGGTTTCAGTTTAGCTGAAATCACTTACTCAAAGCTGAAATGTGGCACGTTTGTTCTCCGCTGGGAAGTATGCTTCTGTTTAATAATATTTTTATGAGATTGTATTTATGGAAACGGAAAGAAAAACGTCATGAAGCTAGTTTTGTTGCACTTTTCTAAGGCTTTTGTATTTTGCATAGAGTT